CTCAGTTTTCTAGTCTGTAAAGTGGGTATCCTGATGCTTGTCCTACGTGTCCTCCAAAACATGAAACCATTTAATTTGTAGAAGGTGAGGTCTTTTGTGGTTTATTTCTGAGACTCCTACCAGGTGGAAAAAGCTTACGGTTCTCAGGGGAACAGAGCCGGAGAGGCTGAACCATGGGAGTTTCTTTGGTTGATGAGAAGACTGTTTCAGAAGTGAAGTGGAATTGTCTAAAAGAAGCAGGCGAGCCCCACTGCACCCCAGTGGGCTGTAGGCAGCCTGTTTCTGTAAACCCAAAAAAAAAAAACAGATTAAAGATGAAAGCATTCTCTGCTGCATAACAAACAGATTTCACATAGCTTCTATCTTGTTCCTCTTGGGGAACATTCTTTAGCAGCACAAACTGACAATTTCCCATTTGCCTTCTCCACATGTGAGAGCGAGATAGGAGAGATTTGATTGTTTTTAGCTTTGTGCAGTAATCATATCTCAGAAGCAGTGATTTTTAGATTGGCTTCCTCCAAGCTCAGTGTTCTGTATTAAGCAGGTCTCTCGCCGGCATGTTATATTTTCCTTCGTAGGTCACTGTTGGATAGGGTCCAAAGAGCCAAAATGGGCTCAGGCCTTTGTTGAGTATTTATGATTGTCATCCAACTTCAGCCTAATGCATTTGCTTGTTCAGTCTGGCCAGACAGTTTTCAGCATGGCAGAAACTGAACAAGCCATAATCCCAAGTTTGAAAACACACCCCTAGAAAGAAAAATGATTCTGTAAATTAAAAGAGTGTAATGAGGTTCATGCAATTTCTGGGTTTGGAGTAGAAATATTCACTGGCATTGATGTGTTGAAATACGCAGCATGAATTTGCATTGTCTTCTGACTTCCCAATTTTAAAAAAAGAACATACGGTCAGGGAGGGGAAGGCATTTCTTAATCACCTGGGCAATGCTAGTGGAAATTTAAAAAGCCGATCGGATATTTCACACTAAATTAGTCCAAAATTATAAAGTAATCTAGATGAGTATTTCGTACTTGCCTTACTGGTTTCCCCTTGACGTCTTGGGACATCCGTTGGACCTCACTGCCTTGGGTTTTGGGGGGCTGGCCTCCATCTTTGGACATCATTGTCTTTGAGTGTTTTGGGCTGAGCTCCAACTTCTGCCTGCCCTCTTATGTAATGCAGCATTCACTGTTCTGTATTTCTAAGAAGCAAGCACACACTGATTTTATTTGTAAATGTATTACACATTTTTTTTTTATTGGTGACTCAACAAATGGGTCATTGTATTACACATAACATGGGATTTCCAGCTTATGTTGGAAAAATATCATCTTTCTTCACGTTTTTTTTTCCTCGACCAATTAGGCAGTGATGAATCAGGACCTTAACTGTTCCTTATAAAACAACTTAGCTGTTTACTTATATTTAAGGCTGTTTCTTCCATGGATGTTAGGTGAGATGATTAGAAATCCACAGTGTGAGCTTTTACGTTCCGTGTGCCTCTCTCCTCTTTCCCCTAAACTGTAGCTAGTTAACTTTAAACCTATTTATGTTGGAGATCTTTCCCTGTAACAGATGACTGGGGGCTGGAGGGGGGCGGTGTGTGTGGGGGGGGTGTCTTTTTAATATACTTCACTTTTATAAAATTAAACCTTAACGAATTATCTCACGTGTTTTACTAGTTTCTGAGCTATTGGAATTGATGAGGAAAAACATCTAGTTTCAGTTAAAAGCATTTCACTGTGAATGCTTCAAAATAAATGCTTCCACAGATCATTTATTTCATTGTTTTATTTTCAGTTTTCATTCGGTCATTTGCCTTTAGTTTTAAACCTAAAACTGCCCTGCCAAGGGTCATTTTTCTTACATACATGGCCCGACTGAATCTCTCTCCGATCGATGTAGTGGAAGGTGGTCTCTGAGGCCCCTCCCAGCCCTGTTCTCCTAAGATGCTAGTATTTTTAGGTTTGTTTACTTAATTGATTAAGTTAAACGATGAAGCCATTCACAATAAATTCCCAGTTGATCTGACTCCATGACCCAGAGTGTCACTCAGCCTGTCCTGGAAGTCTCTTTGGAGCACTGCTGGTCCCTTCCAGGTGTGGCTTTACCATGGCCAGTTTAATCAGGACATAACGGTGGTGGGTGAGATTACCCACAGGCTCCTTTGAAAACAAATAAGCATAAATACTCTTGTTTTGCAGCGCCAGCCAGCCTTTGACACCTTTGATGGGTCCCTGTTTGCTGTCTTGCCCTCCCTGAATGAAGACCAAGCCCTCCAGGAGGTGCCCACAGGCCTGGACTCCGTTTCTCATGGTAATCTTGACCCGCTGTGCCTGGTTGTCCTAAGGAGTGCAGTTAGTAAAGAGATGACAGCCCCTCAGTGATAAGCGTTGGCATCTTGAGTCTTTGGTGGGAAAGTCAGATGGAGGCTCTGGGACAAGATCGGTTTCCTTTTTGATAAAAGGTGACTGCCAGACGCACCCCAGGGAGAGCAAATGTCCTGCTACTGGCAAACTGCAGGGGACCCTGAGATTTCCATGAGGATGTTGTTTTCAAACCCCAAGCTCTCAGGTCCACCCTGTGAAGCAGACCAATGCACATTAAAATGCACCCCGGACTTTTCATCCTGGATTTCCTCTTAAATCATCCCCCTTGGTGTTTTGGGGCCACAGATCATTCTTGCTAATGTTTACCCATTTACTTCTGTAGTTCTTCATATCACTGTTTATTCTTCATAAAGGATAAGCACGTCAGACGATGCCTCTGCAGTTACTGTGACAAGTTATTAGTTGGAAACATTCCAGGGGTTACTTTGTCATATGAAGTAGGTGCTAGAAAATACAGCCCAGGAAATTAATTGAAACACATGTGCTTGCGTAAGCGTGCCATCATGTGATGGTCATTTATCATTCTTGAAATTGCTCAGGGAATCTAGAGAAGGTTGTTTTTCAATAAAAACTGAAGAAGGTGTGCCAGTTTTCTGGGTTTTAGGGGCTGTGTGTTCACACTATGCTCCCAGTCTCTGCCTGCTGCTTAGATTCGTGGAATTCACCTCTAAATTATGTATTTACAATCCCTTAAGCCTTTTGGCCAAAAGCCATGTAATTCCTCTCATTGTCTAAACTTTTAAAATAGACTTAAGTAGGCATTTTACCGAGGCATAACTGCTTTATGAAGTTTTGCATCGTAAAATAAAACTTACGTTTTATTTTAGAATTTTTTAACAAGTGAAGTTACGAGGTGTATGGTATTTTTTTCAATTTCAGTTGAAAAAACTTTTGTAAATATTTATATTTTTTATGGAATTCTGTGAAGGTTTGAGATCAGCGTTGTTCTTTCCTACGAACTAAGATTTCTCCCCTAAATTCTCCACCTGACATTGCCAGCTTGAAATCCTAACGTCCCCCTGGGGTTTCTTCCTAGACTCGGCCAACTGTGAATTGCCCCTGTTAACCCCATGCAGCAAGGCCGTGATGAGTCAAGCCCTGAAAGCTACCTTCAGCGGCTTCAACAAGGAGCGACGCAGGCTGGGCATCCCCAAGAGTGAGTTTGTTTCAGAGCTGCTTTACTGAGTCTACGCTGTATTAGACCAGCGCATGTTTCTGCTGTTGCCTGAGATGGGTTACTTCTTTAAGCTTTTGCTGAGAGTGGCAGAGATGTGGGTAACCTGAGCCAGTTTTATGCCAATCCCGCCCACTGAACATTTAATCCAGCACTGTTGTCAGGGTCTTAGAATTTACCTGGGGCGGCTGGCTCATTTCGTTGGTCTTTGGTGCACATGTGGACTTTATGGGTCAATCAGGAGTGACTCTGGCCTCACTGCCTCCTTCCATGTCGCCCCTCCCCCGTAGACCCCTGGCTGTGGACGGAGCAGCAGGTGTGCCAGTGGCTTCTCTGGGCCACCAACGAGTTCAGTCTGGTGAACGTAAACCTCCAGAGGTTTGGCATGGACGGCCAGGTGTTGTGCAACCTAGGCAAGGAGCGTTTTCTGGAGCTGGCACCCGACTTCGTGGGTGACATTCTCTGGGAGCATCTGGAGCAGATGATCAAAGGTACCCACCAGCCATGGGAGGGAGGGAGGCGTGGTGGGGTGATCGGCTCTCTCCCACCGTAGGCTCAGAGTTTAAATGATGTAAATTGCCCAAAAACACCCTAGAGTGAGTCAAATCATCACGGTGATGACAGATCTGAATCCACTTACGTACAGCCACAAAGCCGTCGCCTTACTCATTAACCTGTTCACCGTGGCTGGACGGCATTGGTCGGGGGAGTACGTGTTGGCTCAGACATGGGGGCCAGCAAGGATCCCCCGGCTGTGTGACTCACCTCACAGAACCGAAATGAACCAGTCAGCCTCGAGGAGAGGAAGCCTCTGCTCGGACTAACTCTGTGGGCTTTACCGTCAATTTTTGTTAAGTCCAAATGGAGTCCAACAAAGTTGTTTTTTTTTTGGTTTGGTTTGGCTTTATGTTTTTAAACAAGGTTGAAGTCATGGACATCTATTTACGCACTGATATACAAAAACTGGTCCCTGAGAGAAGAACTCTCATTATGTAGAAAGACTTGATTCAGACCTTAAAAGAACATTGAGACTGTTGTTAAAAATATGTTGAGTTTAAAAAAAAAACCCAACAACAAAAGAGAGATAAAAATCATTGTGAGGGATCACTTAAGTCAAACATTGAAGAAAATCAGCTTGTTTGTAGCATTCAGGGAAGTATTCCTCATTTAATTGAACGCTGAGTTTCAAAAGTCTATTAACAGAATCAGAATCTTGAAAAGACCTTAGAATTCAGTCACCAGCTCCTTGTAGTTATGGCTCCTGAGGGCGAGGGAAATTCTTTTTTTAAAGACCCCGTGTTTTCCCTCCACTTGGACGAGTCTGATGTGACAAGTTTCTGGTGAGGGTCTGTTTGTTAGCGAGTTGGGCCTGTTTTGCTCTGACTTGGGTGTGAGTCTGTGTGGGTCTGGATTTGTGGGTGCCCGTGTGGTTACGTGTGTTGGTAGGAAGTGGGCATACGCATGGCCACCGCTCTTCCCTTTCAAAGTTCCTGGGCACGTGTGTCCCCGTTACCAACTCCCGCAGCGCAGTGGCCCTCTCTGTGTGTAACGCTCACTGCACCCGGGGGACACTTTCAGGGTTTAAAGCGGTGACCGTAAACCTCACGGAGGCAGGAACCCAGTCCACGTCCCTCACCTGCTGTCTTCCTAGTCTCTGCCTGGTCCAGGTGGTACTTCACACACATTGAACTGTCTGTTGACTGCACGGATAAGTTACATACACCATCTAGATCTTTCAAATTGTGCCATAGAAAACTTAACTTTTTGAATGCCTTCGACAGCGTTCATGTTGGAAAACTTATTCTAGTTATTAAAAAAATGTGTTGCTGTCTCTAGTTTTTTTGGAAGACCCATCAGATTAAGTGTGAACCACTCAATGCATTTAGTTGTTCTGAAATAACCATAGAACGCACAGTCATTCAGAAAATAACTTTCTTGTGTAGCTTTAACCTCCATTTGCAATCTTCTCTCTCCTGTGTCTATTTTTCAGAAAACCAAGAAAAGACAGAAGATCAGTATGAAGAAAATGGCCACCTCAACGCAGTTCCTCACTGGATTAATAGCAATTCATTAGGTCAGTCCAATGGCTTCTGCCCTTAAGGTCTTCCTTTTAATTTGTCCTGTTAGCTCATGGAAGGTCAAAAGGTGCATTGTAGACCTATACCGTCCCATAGGGTAGCCACACGTGGCTAGGAAGCTCGTGGGCGCTTGAAATGTGGCTGGTCCACATCGAGATGTGTGGTCAGAATATAATGCACGTGGGACCTGGAAGTCTTAGTATGAAACAAAGAATGTAAAATAGCTCCTTCCTAATTTTACAAATATTGATTACCTATTAAAATGATAATTGTTATATGAGGTCAAGTAAACATTTTAAATTATTTTCCCTAGTTTCTCTTGTGATGCTACTTAAAATTACCACTGTGTAAAAAAAATAAAAAATAAAAATAACTAGAATTTTTAGGCTACGAGAAAATGTGACGTTGCGTAAGTGGCTTGCGTCATCTTTGCATTGGCCAACACTGGCCCAGGCCATCCAGAGGGCAAAGGGCAGATGGCATGAGCTGGCTGCTGTGGTTAGGTGTAGTGTGACAACTGAGAGGGACCGGCACAGGAAGTGTGTGGAAAGCAGTGCTAAATGTGCTCTGAACTTTGGAGTTTGAAAAGGTGTCATGGAATCCGGGTCCTCCCTTCTGGTTGAGGATTGGTGAATGTAGGTTAGAGGTGGTCCCCCAGCCAGGGCAGGGATATTCTCCTTAGGAGTCACATACTGGGAGCAAATCACTTAGTCTGCCTGAGTCTTGCTTGGTGTCCTCGGAAGCCTAAAGCCAGTGAACCCTGTCATGAGTCACGTGAAAGCACTTGATACACTAGAGCCGTAGAAATACCAGCATTGAGGCATCGCACGCGCCCAGGGTCCAGAGGCCGCAGGCATTTTGTAAAAGGTCCAGTAAGGCTGGGGAGACGTGTGGCTTGAGACGAAGAGGCCTTAGTGGAAGGCCTGCCCCTCAGAGCGCACATTCCCACGAGGCTTTGCGGAGGCTGGGGCTTGCAGAACAGTTCGAGTTGGTTGAGGCAGAGAGGGTTGTGACTGATGCCTACTAGCTGTGCTGACCGGTCGCTCTGTTCCAGGTTTCGGCGTAGAGCAGCCGCCATACGGAATGCAGACGCAGAATTACCCTAAAGGCGGCCTCCTGGACACCATGTGTCCATCCACGGCAGCGCCTGGGGCCCTCAGATCTGAGCAGGAGTTTCCGATGTTCCCCAAGTCTCGGCTTGACACCGTCAGTGTCAACTACTGCTCCCTGAGCCAGGACTTCGCGGGCAGCAACCTGAGTCTGCTCACCAGCGGTTCCGGTAAGAAGAAGCTTCTAGGCGGTCTTTTCAGTAAAGCTTTGGTTGGATTCTGGGAGCCACCATCAGACAGTGACATGAGATTCTTAATCAGTTGGAGCAGGTCAGGGGCTTGTCCATGTGCTAAATGACTAGGTCAAAATCACAGACAATTGAGTTGCTTCCTAAGGGTGCCCCTGATATGCTTTGGGCCGTGGTCCAAGGGTATTGAGCAAACAAGACACAGGCCCTGCTCTTGGGGCTGGATTCCTCCACCCCGTGGGGAGACGATGTAGGAATGTGGCAGGTTTCTTTTTATGGGGATGTATATATACAGTACGCGAATCTCAGGAAATAACAACTGGCTGGATTTTTACATAAATGCACCTGTGTAACGGCCACGCAGATGGAGCTAAAGAGGCTCCCAGCACCCCGGAAAGCTCCCTCACCCCCCTCCCCAGTCCCAGCGGGAAGCCAGCGTCCTGACTGGCACCCTCCTGGTTGTTCCCGCGCCTGAACTTGATGTAAATAGAAGCCGGCCGCCTGTTCCCTCTCTCATGTTGGTCTTTTGCTCAGTATTGTGTCAGAGGTCCACCCATGGTGTAGGGTGTTGTTCTCTCTCTTGCTAGATCGTACTCCATGCTGTAAGGCTTCGCCTGACGCACCGTCCCAGCGTCGGGGGAAGATGTGGTTGTCCGGTAGAGTCAGACGAAGCCCCTCAGCTTAAGGGCGTTGCGAAGGTCTGCACGATTCTGCTCCAGCAGGGAGCACGGCCGAATGGGGTGGATGGCCATGATGCTGCCATTGTGTATTGGCAGTAGGGCTGGACCTGTCATTATCCTGGAGAGGTCACCACGTGTGCCTGGGTGTCGTTGCCAGGGAAGCCCGGAGACCGCGACCCCCCCGAGAGCGGCGGCGACAGCTTCGAGAGCTCGGACTCGCTGCTGCAGTCCTGGAACAGCCAGTCGTCGCTGCTGGACGTGCAGCGTGTACCTTCCTTCGAGAGCTTCGAGGACGACTGCAGCCAGTCCCTGTGCCTCAGTAAGCCGACCATGTCTTTCAAGGATTACATCCAAGAACGGAGCGACCCGGTGGAGCAAGGCAAACCAGTTATACCTGCGGCCGTGCTGGCCGGCTTCACAGGTGAGTGTGCATGCCCGGGTCTCTCGTCACCTTCTCCGTGCCCTGCCCAGCCCCAGCCGTGTTTGTCAAGGGTGTTTTCTGCTCTGAGCACATGGTATGTTCACCCTACATTGGGTCCGTGGGGTATAATCCTGAGCCCAGATGCGCTGTGTCCGTGAATTGCAAAAAGGCCAGCTTTGCAAAGATTGTCATACACAGCTCCGTGGCGTGGGGGGAAACCCACTGGCCGCTGCCTCACCTGGGATGTGCTCAGGCATTCTGGACAGGAGCAGGGGCAGGAGACATGGGACCTCCATCAGCTCTCTGACTCACCCGTGCAAAGAATGTAGGCTGGCTCGGGGAGGGGCAGCAAGCCAGCCTCAAATAACACAGGACTGTTTACCTTTTCTTGCTTCTAAAACGCATCTTATTTTTAAGGTTTGGGCAAGAGCTATTCTAGGCAGGGGATAAATATTAAAGCCGTTTTTAGAACCAGATATTTCCAGCACGTTAGTGAAAATACTGAATCTTTGTTTTTGGAGTTTTTTTTTTATTGCTTCATGTGTCCTTAAATGAGCTTTCTTTCCTTTTTTCTTTCTTTTTTTTTTTTTTTTCATGTTTTGACCATATGGCGCCACTGGGGATTTCAAAAATGCCTACTGACAAAAATCTGATAGGTGAGAATCAGGATATGTAGGCATCCATTTTTTTCTGTCACCTAAAACAAACGGCTATGGAAACGTGTTAAAATACCCATTGAGTGCGTGAGAACTGGTGTCGCTTTCGTACTCGGGGGTCGGGGCCTGGTCAGAAAATCCACAGCCGTGGTGGTGGTGTTTTTCACTGTCGTGGTAGTGACCCCCCATTGCCTGCCAGCTCTGTGGTTGACTAGGCGTATGTACGGTAGGCCTTCGACAGCCCAGCATGGGTGGTACCGTCAGCCCATTGTACAGATGGGGAAGTTGGCTCAGTGACACAGCTCTCTGTGGTCACACAGGCAGCAACCCAGTTCTGTCTGGCTCCAGAAATCCTGTCCCCGTGCCTCCTAGCAAAGCCTTACTGACGATGGCCTTGGTGTCTTGGAGAACTGCCCTTTGACGGGCGTGTGACCCAGGACAGGGCACCTGGCCTCTGAGCCACCTCTTACACCTCATCTTTAAATGGCGCGACCATGGTGCTGCTTTCCAAGGGGGTGGTTCGAAGCACCATTCGTTTAGAAAAAGCACTTGAAGAGCGCTGTGCAAGGCAAATGTGTCACCAGAGAGCGGCAGTGAGGCGGCGGGACCGTGCCAAATGCCCAGATGGCTGTTGAGGAAACCGCATGTTGGGTCAAGCAGTTTACCCACTGTTGTTAGTTAGGCAGGAAAGCTGCCGCCCAGGACCCCGCGAATGCCATGACTCGTTCCATGGCGAAATGCCCCTCCAAGCGCCCCCATCCTGTCCTGCCAGGTGTTTGTAGAAACAGACTCTGAAAGTTATTATATAAGGAGCAGTTACCCAGGTTGAGAGATTCTGATGCCAAGACTTGGTGGCCCCGAATTATTTCCCAGAAAGACCAAACCCAACAGCCCAGGGCCTCGTGACCTGTTTTCTAGGAGTAGGGGGCCTGCAGGAAGGCCTCCGTCTGGTGTCTGGCCTGAGCCCATTAGCGTTCAGGGCTGGCACCAGCCCCCGGAATGGTGCCTTCACGTTGGCACCCAGAGTTGGGTCTCACATTCCCCTACCTGTTTGTTTCATTGGGATGACTAAACCATTGCCACATTTGAAATCTATAAAAACATATCCTGCGCCCTCTCCTCAGGAAGCGGACCTATCCAGCTGTGGCAGTTTCTCCTGGAATTGCTGTCTGACAAATCCTGCCAGCCATTCATCAGCTGGACTGGGGACGGATGGGAGTTTAAGCTTGCTGACCCCGATGAGGTATGGCGGGGCCTGGGAAGTCAGCCTGTGGGCTCATACTCGGCTTGTATTGCTTTGGGTTCACAAATGCAGTGTTCTGGGCACAGGGAAGGGTTCCCAGTACAAAGGAGGGCACTCCTGACGGTCGGGACACTTGCAGTGCCAGCCCGGCTTCGCCGATAGGTTTACAGAGTCCCTGGGCACTGGCCGAGTTCACTGTCTTGCTCGGTCATTGGATAAAAAGGTGCAGGTGGTAAACTGAGGCTCTCTCCTGACTGTGTGAGAATGCCTTGGGAAGTCCACCTTCTTCCGTTGGGGAATGAATCTCAGGACCCCCACGCCCGCACTCCAGCCAGGCTTCCGTGCTCCTCTGCTGAGCTCGGCGGAGCTGCCCCAGCCTGGGCTGGAGAGAAAGCCAAGGGCAGATCCAGTACCTGCCCCTCTAGGACAGCATTAGAGAAGCCCTAGGTTTCTGCACCAGTAGAGTGCAGTCTGTCACCTCCCCGATCCCGTGAGCAATGCGTAATGTCACATGGCTCAGAGCCCCACTTAGCAGCTGCCGATGGTGGTGGGTGGAATCAGAACCCAGGAGGGGAGAGGGCACAGCCTTTCCTTGTCTCAGGACCCCCGATTCTGAACCTTTGGCTCCCAGGAGGTTTTGCTGAGCGAGTGGCCTCGAAAGCCCTGTACCAGACGGTGCTGTGGGTGGGGGCACCTGCACCCCCCTCCGCCCTCAGAGAACCAGCCGAGGGACACAGTGCCCTGGCACGTTGTCCTGGGTGAGCATGCGTCAGCGTCATAATTGGGGGGAAGTCATTCACTTTTTCTTAATTGCCACGTGGAATTGAAGAACTCTTTCCTGTCTGTGTCCGCGGCAGGTGGCCCGCCGGTGGGGAAAGAGGAAAAACAAGCCCAAGATGAACTATGAGAAGCTGAGCCGGGGTCTGCGCTATTACTATGACAAGAACATCATCCACAAGACGTCAGGGAAGCGCTATGTGTACCGCTTCGTGTGCGACCTGCAGAACCTGCTGGGGTTCACGCCCGAGGAACTGCATGCCATCCTGGGCGTCCAGCCGGACACGGAGGACTGAGGCCCTGGGGACTTGCGAGCGGGGCCGTCCTGATGGACTGCTCCCAGGACCCTGCCAGGCCAGATTGAACACGTCCAGGAAAGTCGCCAAGAAGCAGTGGCCTTATTTCATCCAAAAGTGCGGTTCTTCGCCCAAAGCAGCACGGTTTCTCGCTTCGAAAGCCTGTGGACAGGAAAACGCTATTTATAATGCAATTACATTAAAGTGGCCGCGAGGGCAGCGCTGGGAAGCCATCCTGCCTCCGAGCAGGCTGTGTGACAGGATCGTTCAGGCTATTGCACATGCTCCAAGGAGTGAGCATGTCGTGGACACACACAATTTGGGGTTTCTTTTGCCTTTTGCAACCAGGAATGACAAATGCAAAAGTGGTTTCTTGTTTCAGAGGGTAGGAGGCAGCAAGGAAATACTCATGCCATTTCAGAGGTTGGTTTGTATATATGACTGTAATCTTATAATTGTTATCAAAATCCTGTAACAGTTCTATTTAACAGAAGTTGTATATTGTAATTTAAAATAATTATATAACTGTATGTGAAATAACAATGCCGACATGCAATGTTTATTCCATTTTTCAAGAGTGCATGTGGCATTTTGCAAACATTGAATCTGCCGAGGGCAGACTAAGGGAAGTTGTAAAATGTGTATGACTGGCATGTACTATGCCTACAGGAGTAAGTCATGAGAGGGCTAATCCCTGTTTTGTTTTGTTTTGTTTTGCCTGGGTTATTATCTGGCAAGGACTTTGTACATTTGGGAATTTTTATAAGAAATGTAATGTTATTATTCGGGGGCACATCTGGCCCCTGCTTTCTCCTTTAATTGTAATGTAAAAGCTATAAAGCAGTATTTTTCTTGACAGATGGCATATGTTTTCCATTTCTATGCATGCCTTTAAATCAGTTGATGCACAAAACCTATTTCTTTAACTGTGTTTCCCCCACAACTACCCTCCCCGACCAGCCATTTCCACCCCGTACCCCACTTCCAAGCCCCAAGTTATTCTGTATGATTAAGATAAGAATACTATTTTTGGAAATATGCAACTCCTTTTCAGAGATCGGGGGCTTTACATAGCAGCTATTTTTACTGTAAAAGTAATTCACTGGAGAAAGATGTAATTTGTAAAAAAGCTTTATTTTTTACCTCAGCTTCATGTAAAGATAAAGGGCTGAAGGTTTGGGGGTGCGGGGGGAACCGGGGAGGGAGAACCTCGGGTATGAATGAATGATTTCTCCCATCCTTGTTGACTGCCGCGTTGGGCTGGGGATACCAGGCTGCTCCTTTCTGCTCAGTATCCACAGCAAGGTAGTTTTGTTTTGTGTTTTTCCTATTTTCTTGGACGCAGAATGTCCAGAGGCCAACAGAGGAAACGCGATGGAAAAGAGTGCTTTGGGAAGTTCACATGAGAACACGTTCTGATTGTGATGGAGTCCTTGTTGTTGCTTCTAAGGAGCGTCTGGGTCAGCGTGTATTCCTGGCCTGTGCGTGATCCAGTCCGGTTGGTTTCAAAGTTGGACAGGCCTCAATAGTGGTGTTGAGGACACTTGGACTGGTGGCTGACAGCTCTAAAGAACCGTCCGTGTGATGCTTAGGCGCAAGCTGGGAAGAGCAAAGCCGCCCCAAGACCCACACAAGGCAATTTCCAGTATCTTTAAACACAGGATGTTTCAGGCAGGACCTGTTTATCGCTCGGACATCTGTTTATAACATCAACAGACGTGACTGGGAACATCTTGCTGCCAAAACAAACCTTAGCCATGGGCTCATTTTCTATGGGGTTGAGCTCCACGAAATCACCAATATTTGTTTCCTTTTATCTGCAAAGCTGGCAGTGTCATGCGGTCCCACCTAATAGTAACGGGAACTGAGGTCCATTGTAAACCTTTGGCATGGTGATGAACAGAACTTAAGTACAAAACTTTTGTAATTTGGCCGTTTCTTTCTCAAATAATAAAGTATTTTGTTTATATAAACTCCTCCTTGTGAGTCCTCATTCTTCGTCCCCACCCCAACACGGAGGAGGCAGAGGGAGGATTTCGTGCCCAGAGCTGCTGCTCACTAAGCAGCTTTCAGTCACTGAGTCACATCGCTGTTTAATTGATTTTACACATGGGCCACCTAGTAACCCATGACCAAGCTGGAACCAGCTGTGAGCCCTTCCTGAAGGAATTTCCCCAGAAGGGTTCCTTGAAGCGAAAATTTATTTTAGGAAAGGATTACAGTAGGAAGATCTAGGTTCTTGTCTTTGCCAGGGGCTTAGCAGAGATAACAGAAGAAACTTTACATTTAAGAACATTAGGACTTGAGGTTCAAGGACTTTTGTAATTGAGGCCACGATTCTCTTGGACTTTTCTGACGTTGCTGAGATGACTTAACCTGAGAGGAGGGTGATGGTCCCGAGACACCTGTCCTCAAATTCGTTCTCAGGACTCTTTTCCACTCTTCAAAATCAGTGAAGATGCCAAAATACTTGGATGGATTGTATCAGGTGTGCTGGAGCCAGCTCATTGAGGACTAGTGAGAGCTGATGGCGCACGTCTCTTCACAACTCTGCATCGGTTGGTAGCTTGAACTTGGCCATGATGAGAGAATTTATACCATGAAATCAGCAAACACTATAAATGAGGGCACCCCCTGCCCCTCCCGGGAGCTGGTTGTTAAGCATTTGCCAGCACACCACGGATCATCAATGTTTACCATATTACAAATTCAAACACATTTTAAAATATGATTCATTTTTAAAATAACATTACATATTAACATTTTTATGAACAATGACTCATTTTCAAAAAAAGTGAGAATGGCACTGTTTTACATGTTTTCAAGTCTCTGATGTCGGCTCTCAGAAGAGAGCTGGATTATTATACTTGCTTCTGCCGTCAGCCTGTTGTGATATAGTTTGAAGAAAATCAGGCTTCACACAGATAGGTACACGGAAGAGGGAAGAATATTTAATAGTTACTTCAGATAATTGTGAATATTGTTTTATACTACACCACAACTGACAAATGGTAGTTTCTTAAAAGTTAATTGCAGTTGGAATATGAAACCATATCAATCAACTTTCCTATGGTTACCATAAATTCCACCTGTCTGTCTTGCACGTTGAATGGGTCTTTTATCCCTTTGTGATCTTGTAACATCATGCATTAGTCACACGGAAAATAATACTGCTTCAAAATGTTGACACATTTCAAAATACAATCTCCTACCCAAAGAATACACGGTCCTCATGTATGCACAGTTTATATGCACAATTTAGTTACTATCACCACCAATTTCATCTACTATCAAAGTACTGGGAAGCTATCAAGCTCACAGTGGCACATATAAATGTTCAAAAATTGGAATTTGCACTTGAAAGCTCAAGTTTGATCATTGGCAACAAACACTAAGTTTTCTTTGAAGTGACAGGCCCATTTCATTTACTTACAAAATATCTGTCAAATACCCAAATCTGAATAAACATAATTTGTTGGTTGTTCTTTGAATAAAAACAACATTCATGAATAAAGTGGTTAGTTTAGCTTGCAACTCAAACAAGTTCTTTTTTTGACGTCAGTATAAATATTTTATCTATTAAAATATTAAATATAAAAGCATTTCTTATAATTATTTTAGTTTTCAATTACAGTTGACACACTATTATTATATATTAGTTTCAGGTCTATAGCATAGTGGTGAGACAGTTATGTACCTTGCACAGTGATCTCCCCCAACACCGTATTACAATGTTACTGACTATATTCCCTAGCAGCGAAAGTTCTTTATATGTACTTTCCATTTTATTACCCAGAAATTTAAAAGATGTGTTTTCACTTAGTCACAAAATTAACTTTTACTGTTTCATGAAGGGCATTTTAAAGTGAGACTGGTATTTTTTTCCTGCAAGTACATGGTGGTGAAGATGGCAATGGCTGCTAGTACCGTTTCATGCCAAGGCCCCAGCAGTTTCACCCGCCTTTGCTTTTGCACCATCAGTGCAAATGTCAACACAGTAAAAGAGGCAATTATGATATTATAATATAATAATATTATATAACATAATATAATAATAATATTATTGTAATATTATTATAGTATAATATTGAGTTGTCGGGAAAGTCATGACGTATTTTTCTGTTTTTCAATGCAAAAATGCGTCATGACTTTCCCGACGACTCAATACATATTATTACAAAAATCATTTTGACCTCGAGGATCCTCCTGAATGGGTGTCAGAGTCCCCCAGTTGCTTGTGGACCTCACTTTGAGAACTGTTCTAGAAAGCATAGAGGCTCACCCGCAACAACAAAGGAATGGAACTGGGGCGGGGGGCGGGGGGCAAGGAGGCACACTATTCCTTTCCCGTCTCTAATCCAGTGTCCATACTTCCAGTCTCACCCTTTGATAGCCAGTCAAGACGAAGCACTTTTTATTTACAGTAAAAGGCACTGAAATGTTCTGCGTGGTCAAGTTCATTCACAGGGGGAAATGGATACTCGCCAAGTCCTCCTACCATTCTTTACTGTGCCCTTTTTTATCTTCCACTCTAAATCTTTTTTTAAAGAAAAAAGTATCTTTTACCATAATTTTTTTTAATTTATTTTTTATTTATTTTTATTTTTATTTTTATTATTTTTTTTAGCTGCGCCATCCTGACACTCAGGATGAGCCACTGTTGGCAGCTCAGCTCGGGCCGGGACTCGAACTGCTGTTGCTCAGAGCTCAAACTCTTGAGTGAGCTCTTAACCCACTGAGCCACTCGGCCAGCCCAACCATAACTTTTTAATTGATTTATCTTAACGTACTCGAAGCTGAGATCATGAAGAGATGAGGTTACATATGGCCTGTCTTCTAGTTTTTCCACATGATGGAAAAGAAGTGGAATTTAATTGCCATTCGCTGTCCCCCACCCACACCCCCTCCATGTCCTGGTTCTCCCTCATATAGGGGCCTGAGAGGGGCTGTGAGCTGCAATGGGTGGACACTCACAACGCTGATGGGGCTGCACAGTGAGGTGTGTGAGGCACAGGGTGAGGGCCAGAGGAGGCAGCGAGGGGACCGGGCAGGTGGGCCAGCACGCTGTCTCACCACCGCTCTGGACACGCCAAGCAGGTTGGCAGGAGGGCTTTTGTGCTTTGGAACCAGACCTTGGGTTATCACTCTGGGGGCACTAATGTGTGACCTTGGGCACTAACTTAATGACTCTGTGCCTCAGTTTCCCCTCTGTGAAATGGGGTCACTGGGTAGCAGTGGGTGGATGAATCTGTTGTTTGGTTAAGATGGAGGGAAGTCAGTGGCTTGGGGGGCTCTGCTTAAGCCACGAGCAAAGCAACCCCGCAGGGGGCCTGCAAAGAAAATTCAGCTCCTGACAGTCACATCTTTTTCGTAAGAAGGAACCCAGGTGCAGAATTCTTCAACAAAGCTGGCACTTGACTCAACCAGGATTCAAACCCAGGTCTTCAGTTTCCTGATGTTCTCTTGCCATGATAACCACGCTGAGTTTTGTTTAAGCCATTATAGAAGCTACCCGGGGGCTCCCCCAAACTCCCAGTTCCTTCTTCCACAGCCCTTGGTTTGATGTTAAATTATCCATGAACCTTCTACCCAAAGAACACACAGTCCTCATATCTGCAGGAGCTGGTGGCAGCTAGTTTAGTCTGAGCAGATGGGAGAATCTCATAGTCTGGGCCAGATGTTAATCTGTCTTTTCTGGGTAAAAGCAAAACACAAGGGTGTGACTCGCAGCACTGAAGGGGGAAACCCCTTATGGTGAAATTCTCTTGTAACTCCTGGGCAGAGTTTCAACATGGGTAGCTGTTTGACATCTAACATTTGGTGGGGGGGTGGGGGTAGATCATTTTTGGTCATAGCTGGTGTGATGACACCTTCCCAACTGGTACTGACATGGCCTTTGTCCACGTGCTATGAGTAACTGCCCGCTCTTTGTCTCCCAAAGTCATGTTCAGAGAGCAAAACAGCCCAGGATTGCCAAACCTGACCCCCGCCAGCTGTTTCTGTCTCTGCGGCTTCATACGCTGCATCCATACGCGTATAACCAGAGCTCTTCACACACATGTGTTTGCATGGCATGGAGCCAGAAACACTGACCCATGGGAGCCTGTGGCCTGGGCTGGCTGGAGGATGCAGCGTGGGAGTGCGGGGGATGACGAGTGGTAAACAGAAAAGGATCTCTCAAGCAAAAAAAATTGTGTGTCAGCTCTGGTCCATCTCCATGTAAGCTCATGAGCAACAACATTTACCATCTGCTGGTAAACTCCACCAATTGAATTGGGTACTGAAGAGGTTCTTTTTCATCAAAATGTAAATATGTAGTGAATAATTGTGAAATAGGGTACCATTTGCAAGGCTGACTTTCATCTTCCTGTGTCCCTAGGAGGTCGGTTTTGTTACGCTCATTTCACAGACGTGGGAACTGAGGCTTGGAGAGGTTAAAACCCTGTATAGAAACTGGAGGAACTTATTGGGACCCATCAGTGGCCCCTGATCAATGGTGCCGAAGTATGGACTCTGGAGGGCCACCACGGCTAAGGGGCCGGACAGCTTCTCAAAGACTGCCACCCCTACCTTGCCCCATCTGTCCCAGTGCTGTAGGTGCTCTCACCTTCCCACCCTGGATAAAGCCAGTCCTCTAACACCCTAAGGACTTAACATCTTGTGCATAATTCTCAGGTCCTGAGCAATCAGACCAGTATCTTTGGTCACATTTGCATGATCCTGGGGCTTCTGTCTTCCCATGCTGTGTGTGGGCCCCAGAATACACCCAGACGGTGGTTTCAATAGCTTAGTTACCATTCATGTGTAGGTTTTTGTGTTCATCCATCCAGTCGTTCATTTACAAGCCGTTTTTAATGTCAGCCACTGAGAATATACAGATCACTGAAAGCTCACCCATCCATGCATTCGAGGGGCCACTTTCTAGTGACAGAGCCCAAGAGTGACGATGGCAATGGCACGTGAGTTCCACCTAGAG